CCCCCACCCCGCGCCAGGCCTTCAAGTCTCAGCCGGAAAACGCGGAGCGCGTCTTTTTCGCGGAGCTGTGGCACGACGACTCAGCGCCCGTGTTCTCGCGCCTCGGGCTCAACGCGCTGCCGGCGCTGTTCCACTGGGGCCCCTCGCAGGTCGGCAAGCCCGGCAAGAAGGCCGCGCTGCCAGACGCCGCGAAGGTGCGCGGGCGCAGGGGCCGGGCGGGGGCGGGGCGCGAGCGGAGGGCGCTGGCGGCGGCGGAAAGGCGGCCTCGCGGGCCAAGGAGCGGCAGAGCGCTGCTGCGCGCGCGAGAGGGGGAGGAACTGCTCGAGGCGTGAGATTGCGGGAGTTCCCTCGCGTCCGGTTGCTGTGTATGCTAGCTCACAGCATCAGATTGTGGCTGGCGACAGTCAGCCGGCTGCAGCCCTCATGCTGAGCGTCCTTTCATGGCAACTGCTGTCAACGCACACGCCCTCTCCCCCCCCCCAGCACACATACATGCACATTTGCGGGCACTCACATGTGCACGCGCACTCAACACACACACATCCACGTATACACACACACACACACAACAAACACAAAAACACAGTGCGGCCAGGGCATCACCACCTACCCCTGGCCGGCCGAGTCCATCGCCGACTTCATCAAGGGCCGCACCTTCCTCGCCCACGGCGCCATCGACCGCCCCTCGTTCATCAAGTCGCCCGTCTTCCCCCTGTTCGCGCTGGCGCTGCTGGGGGGCGGCGGGTACGTGGCGTGGGTGCTGTACAACTCATGGATCGTGCGGATGACCTGGATCTGGTGCCTCGGGTCGCTGGCGATCTATGGTGCGCAGGCCCAGGCGTTGTTGTGGGGGCGCGGCAGCCGCAGCCGCAGCCGGCTTCTCAAGGGAGGCCACGACTTCGTTTTGCACCAGTAGCAATTGTCTGGGCGCTTTAGGGACCGCGCACAAGGATGTTGCCGCCGCGCTTCGTTCGCGTCTATGCGGGCCCACTGCCGTCTTGATACGCCACTCCCAAGCTTGGCCCCCCGCCTGCCTCACCTTCAAACCCTTGCATCTGTCCCACCTTTCCCTCATCTTCTGCCCTTGTTCCCAACAGGCTTCTCAACTTCTGGTGGCATGTACAACATCATCCGCGGCATGCCCATGTACATTTTCGAACGCACCGGGAAGGTCAAGTGGTGGCTCGACGTGAGTCATCCGAGGCGGGGGGCTAGGGGCCCAGGGACCCTCGCCTGGGAGCCCATGGGCAGCATCCAAAAGTACCAGCAAGCGGGCTTGCCTCTTGCACCCTGCCGCCGCACGCCCTCGCCAGCTGCGCACAGCACGCGCTGCCAACCCACCCCCTCCCTCCCGGCCCCCTGCCGCGCGCCCGCCCCGCGCTCGCGCCCCGCGATGCGCAGCAACGCTCCGGCCAGTTTGGCGCGGAGGGCTTCGCCATGGGCTCCTCCTACATCCTGTTCAGCGGCCTCATCTCCCTCATGGTGTACGGCC